TATTTGCCCTCGAAGCTTCGTTTCTCCGACAAATATGCAAGTTTTAAGAACATCAAATTTCCGTGAGGTAACTATTAGCCAATAGTTCCTCGACAGAACGATTGCCAAAGAAAGGCAAAAAGCGTGATTTATATATATCAAAGGGCGCACGTTTTAGGACCAATGTAAAATGTATCCGTAGCGCTGATTTGTTTGGATCTAAAGTAAAACTAAGTAAGAGCTACTGAATGGAAAAGCTGGTTTACCATCCAGCAACCTCAGTTTTCGTAACAAATTTGTGTTTTAAATTTTCAAAACTGGTACTCATTTTGTATCACTTTGGCAAGTTCATGTGATAACGTTCTGGAAACTGTCCATTAAATACTGTTCGCGCATATCCAGACGAAATCTGCGCATGAGCAACGTATTCAACCAGCCATATCATGGGAAGCAGTGGTTAGGGCACCGGAATTGAAATCTGGAGCTCCAGGTTGTGGGTTCAAGTCCCGCTCTGACTACTCAGCTGGAGTTGTTTCTCGGTAGACCCTAGTTCAACTCCTCGCTCATGCTTGTTTTATTAAAATAGCCAATTGGTTTGCCCCGCGCCCACCAGTTGGGATTTTTAAGCCTATTATGTTTATTTGAAATATTTCTTTCTCTCAGTTTAAGTGACATGCCTGAGAAGTAGCTTGGTGTAGCTAAGCGCATTGTCCACTATAAAAAACGGCATTTTACCTGTTTTTCTAACTAAACACCAGCCTGAAAAGTATTCAGAATAGTTTTAATGTCCTTTTAGACAAACAAACGGTAACCTTCGGCGAGGTTATCAAGTTCCTGGAGGAAATTGTAGCAGAGCAACATGAAAAAACTGAGGTGACCTGTGTCTACAACGTGTTCGATCCGGACCAGACAGGTCATGTATCAGTCATTGAAATACAAGAAGCGCTACACGTATGGTATGGGGATAGAATAAGTGAGGAAGAAGTTCAGGAAATATCGGCGTTTGCTGATCTGGACAATAATGGCTTTGTCAAAGAACAAGGTATAACTGTACTAGCTTTTAGGTCTTTTGAAAGTGTTAATAGTATTTTCAGGACAACATCCGCAAGCAGTAGTCCCAAAGAGGCTAAAACGTCAGGGGATAATTTCCCTTTAGAAAGACATAGAACGCTTTCCATTCGACCAAAATTTCCGATTTCACTTCCGGGAATTTCTTGTGGTGAATGGAACAGCATTGTCTACAATTTCCGAAAAAGAGAACAACCTCGCAAGCAATACGCACGTTTTTGAAAATTTCTCACCAGGAATTTCTGTTCCATTTGATTTTCAACCCGAAATTTTCGGTTGAATAATCATGGTTCGCATTTCGGAAATTGAACAATTAACGAATGTTCTGGTGTTTGCATTGTGGTTGAATGGAAAGCGCCCATATTTTAATCTGAATCTGTTAAGTTATTTTGAGTATTTCTGCAAGACAGACGGTGGTAAAATTTTGCGATATGTAGCAAGGATGGTGTACATGTATAATTCACACACTGACCGGAGTTTCGTAATTAAGCTAAAGATTCCAATGATAATGAAACTGCTTCAACCACGCAACCATCCATCCATGATAGCGTTCACAACATATAAATTTAAGTAAAGATGTAACTGAGTGTTACTTTTTTCTTGCCAGACTTTGAAAGACTGCTTCTGCCCTCCTTGACGCTTTATTAGAAGTTAAGAGGTCCAGAGGATCCAGTGTTGAGAAGTAATCTGGTCGCCCTAGTCCGTCGCCGATACTGATGCAGGAGTGGACTGGGCATAAAGTAGAGCGCTCGGTCCATTTCGCTTATCCCAGAATGACGCGCGTAGCGATGGTCTATTGCGCAAGTGCAGACAGTGAAACACCAATAGCAGTGAGGAAGTAGTAGATGATGAAACGACATACAGATAGCTGCCTCAACTTAAAGCAGTGCTTTTGCAAAATTTTCTACCGTATTACTGATATGTCTTGACAGTTTGTCTTAAATCAAATGCACTCATATACACTAAACAAAGTCGGAAAGATCTTAAAGGTGCCAATCGACAATTGTTTTAAAAATCCTAAGAAAATTGTGAAATGCTTGTTTGCAATCCAAAGGGTTAGTTTCATGGTTTGTTTTGTCTTTTTATTATATTTTGCTTGTTTTTATCAAAGGGAAATTTAAGAGCTCCACATGAAATAAGAAAACGATCCAAGACAAGTTGCGCGATAAATTCTTCCTTGATTTCACTTTTAATCAATTTAATCATAGCTTTTTTATTATTCATATTAATCATTTTTTTTATGTTTAACGAGTTTCTCCTGACTTTTTTAAGGAGGAAGGTGAGAGAATGTAAAGAATATTAACATCGCGATGCACTTTCAAATTCTCAGAACTATCTTTTCAAAAGTTGTCTAGCGATCACTGTAAAGAATTGCTATTTTCATATTGCCGGTCTCTGAAAGAAATGATACGTAATTTCAGTTGAACAAACGTTACGTACGGCACAGCCTGTTACGTTTGCCATGTAAAATATGAAAATAACCATATTAAACAGCATCTTTTAAATAACTTTTTTGAAAGAATAACCAGGTTTTCTTTTTAATGGCAGATTAGTTGAAATAAAAAAATACAAGCTTACATATTTATTTTCCTTCATGTGCTATAAATCCTCTTTACTCTCAAGCATTCTCAATTCACTGTTTAAAGATTTGTTTAAAGTTTCGTTGTTGTTCATCTGTTTCTTCTTTTACAGATCATTATTTAAACATACAAGCAGGGCGGCCTCCTATATAGATGGAGAAGAAAATTCAATATACATTTTACATTTTGAAGTCGATTTAGGCGAGAAAACACTCGAAGAATAACAACCTTCTTTTGTTAATGTTTTCTGAGCGGAAAAGTCCACAATCATTACCTAGAAATGATTGTATTTGTTTTGTGTCAATTTACTGTCTCTCTGAAGTTTGCCGCCCTGCCAATCAGTTTCAATGACCATCGTTCAACATAGAAATTGTTTCTCTGAAATAACAATGTCGATAACTGAAGACCCTCTAAGCCAATCAAATGCCATTCTGCAGCCACTTGCGTGGTGGATAGAAATGAAACTTGGGCATAAAAAAAGCCGCTAAAAGACCATTCAGTTGATTGACAATATTTACTTGTGCGTTTAAACTTCGTCTTACTAGTTCAATTGACTCTTCTATGCCAGATGTCGGATTTTCAAATTCGAAATGTTTATCTAAATTGGTGTTATTAGAAATTCATAGAATTAATAACTAGGAGGTGAATTTTGGCAGCCATTCGTTCAAAGGTGTGTGAAACAAACTTTAATGAACTTAATGAGGTACATCTGGTTCTGAATTATTCGTGTTCGCCAGGCATCAAGGCGTTCGTAGCCATAACCACTGTGTTATTAGTCAACAAATTAGAGCGCGGACACTCAACACAGGCGCTGAAATCCCCACAGGTTAAAAAATACCAAGTCCTGGCTTTTGATAGAGGCGAAACACTTCGCTTTACCTGAAGTGTACAAATTTGGCGACTGGATCTCTAACCATTTGTTGGAAGTGAAGCTGTCTCGAATATTACTCGTCTGGAAGGTAAACTTGTCTTTTAATGTTTTTATGACGTTATTTAACTGTATGTGTGCTTGCTCCTAACTTTCAAATTCAAACCCTTTCGCCGGTCTACAAAAAATAGCACGTATGAGAAAAACATTTCTCTTAAGTAGTGGATGAAGTTATAATGTAAAGCGAAAGCAAGTTGAAAGGCTAAATAGGAAAAATAAATGATGTTAAATCCTTCTCAATGCAACTAAATGAACAGAACGACATCAGATCCGGTTCAATCATTTCACAAAGACAAACAACCACTTCACTGATTATACGCACAAATCCTGTCTACCGACTTTCAACCGGCAAAGTAGTAATGAAGTAAAAAACGAACAAATTTTACGGAATTGATTCTCTGCCAGTTGCCTAGCCAAGAGTATTCCGAGCTTGTTTTGTTTACAGTTCGTATTTGTTTTGTCGTAAGCTAAGTAATGGTTGATTTTTAAGAAATCAATAGCTTTTTATATTAAAACGAGAAAATGAAGAATTTTAGGACAATATAATGTACTGTCTGTTTGGAAACCGCATAACCGCAAATGCATCATTTCTTTGTAGGAAACCATTCAAATGAATTTCTTGTCAATCACAAAAGTTCGCCTCGATTCTAAAGAGTGCACATTAGAGAAAGAACCAGACGCTCAAGATTCGGACATTTCTAGCTCAACAAATGAGAAAATCAATGGAAATTATGGAAAAGAAAACGACGAGAAACAAAAGAAGTACAAAACAGTAATCGGTGAAAAGATTTGGCGACCGTCGCGAAAGGGGGAAAGTGGAGTCAAGTCTTTAACAATGTCGCCAGTACCAACCAACACGAATTCTGAGTCGAGCTCATTCCCCAAACTCATAGCGAAAGAGAAAGATGACAGAAAGGGGAACAAAACTGAAAACGGAATATTGACGATGAAGCGATCCAGTTCGGCCCCAGGATGGTGTTACGTACCAGCGAGAGTGACAAAACAGAATTTTCGACTTCCTTGCATTCCTGATTTGCAAACACTGTCAATCACTGATGACCAGCCAATTGAAACACATAGTAAAACCCTTGTCGTGGAAGGAAAGAAGCTTGGATCGACAGGTGAAACGGGTTTTACTCTAGATTCAGTAGATAATAGTAATAATTTGCCAAAGAGCGACATAAAAGTTATCATTGAAGACCATGGCCACCGCGACGTTCAAGCAAAGAAATTAAGCCACGAAGATGATGAAGCGATAGAAAGTGAGAAAAAACGTTTCCACGGAGACTTGTGCGACGATTCGTTCCCGGCAATTAAGAAAACAGAATTTCGTGTCAAGTCCGCCTACGCCAGCTCAAGCAAGATATACAACACCTATCTACAATCAAGATTCGGTAAAAGCGTTTACGAAAGCGGGGCCAAGAAGACGGCGTCTGGTGCTGGCAAAAAATACCAGGTGTATTGGGCGCCAGTATTGATTAAGAAGCAAATGTTATATAACCGCACCGTTGGCGCGAGTGGCAGGCAGGAATACCGCGGGGAGAGAAATTCTACTGAGGATAACCGCAGCAAAAAGAGAAAAGTTAACATCCATGGAAATAAGGGCAATCTGTGTCAACAGGAGAGTGAATGTTCTTCAGGAGTGGCGTAAAAGCAGTAATGAACATTTTTGACTTATTTCAAGAGTTTTCAGTTTAAATCTATCAAGTGAAGTTTGAAAACAGCCTCTTATTTTCTTTTTATGTCTGTATTTGTAACATTTGAAAGAGATTTTTGGATACCGTAAACTTCCGAAAGTAAAGACCCCCCGAAAGTAACGACAAAAAGTTATGGCCGCTAAATCCCGAAAGTAGAGAGCCGGCCCACTTCTGTCTTTTATTTCGTATAAAATCTCAGTGCTACAAACTTTGTATAACGATTTTTGCTCCCGAAAGTAACGAGCCTCAAAGGCTGCTAATTCCACTAGTCAACGTTCGATGTCTTAATATTGTGACATGGCTCCGAGGCTTTCAAGACAGTTTCTTTTGTTCTTAATTTCCAAAAGAAACTTGCATACAAAGAAAACAACACCAAATATAGAAGTTTGTCCGCAAAGCCTTGGAGCCATGTTAGAATATTGCTAATTAGTATCACCCAGCTAGTGGACTAATGCAAATCCTGCTTTTTGATTGGCTACGCTACTAGAGGACTATTAGTAATAGTCCTCGAGTAGCGAAATTGG